CAGGTGGGCGGGGCCTAATGGGGCCAGGCCTAATGGGGCGGGGCCAGGTGGGGCCGCCCGCCCCCGACCTGCGCTGTCCATCCTCCCCTCCCCGTCCTCCTCCCTCCACTGTCCGGGCTTCCTGCCCTAGCCCGTGGGTCCTGCCCCATGCCACAACCTCAGCGTCCGGGGAGAGATGAACAGGTCAAGGAGATGTGGTCTGTGTACGATAGAATATTATTCACCCTGAAAAAGGAAGGCGATTCTGCCACCTGTCGTGACTGATGAGCCTTGAAGACCAACTGAGTCACGGAAGGATAAATACTGTTGGATCTCACTTACACGCCGCTTACATGCAGTCCCTAGAGTGGCCAAAAGCATAGACAGAAAGTTGAAGGCTAAGTGCCAGGCTGGGGGAGGGGGTGGGAAATGAGTGTCAGTTTTGCAAGATGAAAAGAGTTCTGGACATTGGTTGCACAGGGTGAATTATTTACCACTACTGAACTGTGCACTGCTGAGATGGAAAATTTATAGTATGGGTATTTTACCACAATTAAAAGTAAATGAAATAAAAGGGAATTAAGTTCTGACGTAGGCTACAACATGGTTGAAACTTGAAAACATTCTGCTGAGGGAAATAAGCCAGTCACAAAGAGACAAATTCTGTATGATTCCATTATATCCAGAATAGGCCAATTCAAGAGACAGAAAGCAGAATAGAGATTTCCAGGGGCTTGGGGGGGGGAATGGGGAGATAGTACTTAATGGTCAGAGTTTCTTTTTGGGGTGATGACCAAGTCCTTGAAATAGATAGTGGTGATGGTCACACAACAATGTGAATTTCATTAATGTCACTGAATTGTACACTTAAAAATGATTAAACTGATACATTTTATGTTATGTATATTTTACCACAAAGAAAGAAAACCAATGATGAATTGGCTTTCATCAAAAATTTTAAGGTTTGCTTTCAGAAAGACACGATTAGAAGAATGAAAACACAAGCTATAGACTGGAAGAAAAAAATCGCAAATCACACACCCACCTGTATAAATTGAGAGTCTATAAAGAGCTCTCAAAGCCCAACCGCTACAAAACAACCCGATGAAAAAAACTGAGAGCAGCCTTGGACACACGCTTCACCAGAGAGGATATACAGACGATTAACAGCACACGGACAGATGCTCAACATCATTAGCTATCAGGGAAATGCAGACTAAAACCATGCTGAGATCTGACTACCCACATATTAGATTGGCTAAAAGCAAACAAACAAACAAGCAACACTGACAGTACTGGGTGCTGACGGAGACAGGGTGAGCGACCATCCAGGTCCCCGGGCGTTTCTGGGCTCTAGCACTGAAGGTCCCCTGTCCTAGGAAACCCCTAGGTCCTGGCAAAGCAGATGTGTCAGTCACCGAGGGTGAGGATGCAGACCCAGGACCCTTATACACTGTAAATGCTGTGAATGCAAAATGGTACAGCCACTCTGGGCAACAATTTGGCAGCTTCTTTAAAAGTCAACCGTACACCTTACATGTGAGCCAGCATTCCCCCTCCTTGGTCTTTATCCACGGGAAGTGAAAACTTACCTTCACACAAGTACCTGCACATCACTGTCTACAGCATGTCTATTCATAATCGCCTCAAACTGGAAGCACCCTGGATGTCCTTCATCGGGGTGAAAGCATAAACTGTGGTCCTTCCCACCTAGAAACAGCGCCGAGCAATACAAACACCACCCTGGACACCTTGCTGTCTTGTTGCCTGTCAGGGTCCCCTGCTCCGTGACATCAGCGTCCATGTTCACGGCAGGGCCTCCCTGAGTGTCTTCAGTACTCAGGGACCTGGTCCAGGATGGTGTGCCACCCCCACCCCTAGACTGAGTACTTCTGAACACCTTGGGAAAAGAGACCAGGAGAGAGGCAGAGAGACACACACAGACAGAGATGGAGTAGGAGACACGGCTGGACCTGAAGATAAAAGAGGACCTTCCGTGGTCCAGAAAGGGATCAGAATCCCCGAGCAGGGGCTGGGTGACAGTCTTGGGACGGCAGCGCCCGGCCTAGATCCCAGCCTGTGCAAGGTGGGGACAGGCTGGGGGACAGACAAGGCCGGAACCCCAGCCATACAGGTGTGAGCTGCTGGGGCTCCTTCTCCTGGGCTCTGCTCCCTGGGCAGGGCCAGGCACCCCAGTGGGCACTCCCTGCTGTGCTCTGCAGGGGAGCTGAGGGGCAGGGCCTAGGGAGAGGCAGTGGGAGCCAGGAGGTGGGGGGGTGCCCTGAGGGGCCCGGGTCAGTGTCAACCGGACAGGGGGCCCCCGGACCCGACCCGGGTGCCCCGGCAGGAGGTTGGGTGGCTGCTGCCCCAGCGCCCCCTCCAGGTACAGCTGGAACCTGAGGCACCATCTCCAGCCCCGCAGAGACTGGTCGCAAGTCTCCTCTGGCCCATCAGCCCCCGGGCCCAGCCACTCTGCACCGTGGAGGGCTGCCAGCCAGGGGCTTCACGCTGGGAAACTGGCTTGGAGAAGCTGGCCCAGGAACAGCCTGCAGAAGAGAGCCTGGAGCACCCTCCGGGACCCCCAGGAGCCCAGAAGAGCAGCCACGCTGGTTATCACCCACGAAGGCCGCTGGGGCACAACGCGGGCCAAGGCATCAGTGGAGATCCTGTGACATCAGTGGAGATCCTGTGACTGTGGCTGGGACTCCGCCTTGGACACTGGGAGACACGGTGGCTGAGGGAGTCCTGGAAGGTGCTGGAAGCATTCCCAGGGTTAGGAGAGCTGAGGGTGAGGCTTAGGGAGCAGGAGGCTGCTGCCCTCTGCATCCCCAGGTCGGGGATTCTGCCTCTAAGGGAAATAGAAATCCTGCGGGGCTCCCAAGAGCCTGTCCTTAAATTTTCAGGGATTTTGTGAGCTGGGTGTTAAACACAGTCATTAAGAAAAACTTAATCCTAAATACTTAGAATAAGTTATATAAAGGACACGGGTAATGAATACTCAAAACGCATCCCTGCCTGGTTATTTTGCTACATTTTCCTCTTCTTCCCAGGCCCTCAAGTGTGTTGGCACAAGGAGCCCTGTGCGGTGCTATCCTCCCCACTGGGGGTGTCACACTGCCTGCCAGGGGATCTTACACCTCAGAAGTGGGCAAACCTGCAGGTCAGAGTCCTGGATGGCTGCTGACCCAACAGGCGAGCCCCTCCGGGGGGGCTGGGGGTTCAGCCGCCCAGCAGCGGGGGCCCCCCTCATGCCTGGGTGTGGGAGCTTCCAGCAGACACAGGGGCAGTGAGCTGCTTTGACTACTGGGCACCAGACTCAGGTCAGTCCGCTCAGGCTACCGTGACAGAGCACCAGCCGGGCGGCTTAGAGGGCAGATGCGCACGTCTCACGTCTGGAAGCTGGGAATCCGAGGTCAAGGCCCGGCCGGCAGGGCTGTTTGCTGGGAGAGCCCTCTTGGCCCATAGGTGGCTACCTTTTGGCCATTCCTCACATGACAACAGAAAGGGGGGATCTCTTGGCATATGGGACCTCATCTAACCTTAGTGCCCCCCAAGGGTCATCTCCAAATACGATCGCATTGAGGTTCAACACATGAATAGGGGGAACACAATTCAGGCCATATTTCAGAGGACTATGCTAGAAGGACAAATGTCAGGGCCCGGGAGCAAAGGCAGACAGTGGGCTGGGCAGGTATCAAGGGGAGGCGGGGAGAGGCAGGTGAGCCTCCTGCAGAGAGGGCGCTGAGCCCGGGGCAAGTGCCGCCCGCAGGAACAGGGATAACGCTGTGGGACAGGAACTCTTCTTCCCACCTTCACAGGGGCCAGGCAGGGCTGCCCATCCAGGCAGCAAGGCTCGGAGGGGAGGAAGGGCTCAGGCAGCGTGGAGTGGTGGGGGTTGCCCTGACCTGGCCCCTGGCCTTGGGACGGTCCAGGCGTCGGGGGG